TCAAAGTTAGCAGAAGAAAGTAAACAACAAAGATCAAAGATGAAACAGAGACCAGAAAAAAGATGGAAATGATCGACAAGAGCTGGCTATGGCTCCTTTACCACAGAGCTTGTCAACTGTGCACAAAGCCCTGGCTAGAGCCTCAGAGCTGCATCAAATGGGGACCGCGCCTGCCTGTAATCCCAGCACTTGGGAGGTATAAGCAGGAGAACCAGAGTTCGGAGGTCATATGTGGATACACTGAAGATTCAAGGCCAGCCTGGGCTACATGAGACCATATCTCCAAAAATGTTAATTGATTAATTAAATTGTTAAAAAACGAATGAAATTAATAGCTCCCTTTCTTAGAGGATAAAAATCAACTAACTAAAGAAGACTCAAGCAAAGAGAGAGAAGGAATAAGGCTACAAGAAAGCACAGAGGTGAAGGAGAAATAGTCACAAGACGGAATATCTGCTCTCTCTTACATTTTTTAAATTTTTTTTTATTTTGTGTGTATTGGTGCTTTGTCTACATGTTCATCTGTGCGCTATGTGCATGCACTGCCCACAGAGGCCGGAAGAGGACATCAGATCCCGTGGGACTGGAGTTACAGGTGGAGCCTGGAGCTATCCTAAGCAGCGACTCTGCACAGAAGCCGGCCCGGTGATCATCCCCCATCCCCTGCTGCGCTTTTCCTTTTCCTGTACCGTTCGCCACCCAAAGCTCTAGCAACAGTCATCAATTACTCTGACTGCAGATACTCCTGTTACCTAACTTGATCATATGCCTTGTTTGAGAGACACATACTAGGTATTCTCTGGGACAAGAAGGAAATATGAGTTCCATTCTCAGCTGTACAAACATTCGTCATAAGCAATAAGCCATGCCCATCAGCATGTCAGTTTCTTGCTGATCTAAAAACATGCAACACATTCAGCCGAAACTTTAAAAACTAATAATAAAATTAAAGCACCCAGCGTCAATTTGTCAGCAATAACCAAATAACGATGGTTACTATTTGCAAGCCATTCAGCAAAGATTATCTGCAGTAAAAAGTGTCATTTATACAATTCTTACCTGGTCAAAATAGCATACAGCAAAAGGGCAGAGCAGGTGCTGACAGCCTTGTCATTTGTGGTTTGTTCATCTCTTCTGAGCTCTCGGGTAGCAGACAACTCCAGGCTAGCTGCCAGACACCCAGAAGGTCACTTCTGAATGGCCTAGCCTACTGAACACACACTGTGTTCTTGGAGGTTCCGCTTACAGTCGAAGGAAATGCCAAGAACTAATTTATCTTTGGCAGGTCCTTACTGAAAGTACATGGAGTGTTACAGCTGAGGGTATCTGAAAGCACTGGGGAATAATGTTTACTAACAAATATGATGCTTAAGTCCAGAACAGAGTCGTAATTAAATGTGTAGTTAAAAGCCTTTAATCTAATAAATACACTAGACAATTTGCAAATCACTGAGTCAAGATTAGCCTCCTGGAATACATCCGCTTGTAAGAAGAAAAATGAAACAGATATAACTGAAAGAAGGTGTGAAAATGCTTTTAAGGGAGACTAACAGAAAAGGAAATCCTGCAGACTGTGTTCATTTCTACACTGACTCATTACCCAAAGCGTTGGAGATAGCAATGGCTGTTTTAATCCTAAATGCCTGTCCCACTGGGGTCCATTCTAAAAAGACCCAGGGAAGTATCTACCAAGAACTTAACTTGAGAGATGGGGATATGGCTCCATGGATAAGGAGCTTGTTACACAAACATGAAGACCTGAGTTCAGATCCCCTAAAACTACACAAAAGCCAGGCACACCTGTGCACACTTGTAAGCCAGCACTGGCAGACAAAGACAGGTGGATCCCAGAGCCACACAGGGCGACCAAAGTGGCTGAAATGGTGAGCTCCAAGTTCAGTGAGAGACTCTGTAATCATCATCATCATCATCATCATCATCATCATCATTATCATCCTCATGCAGAGAAACAGAGAGAAAGACTTTCTGAAGTCAGCCTCTGACCTGGACATACTTCTGCACAGTTGATTGCACAAGACACACACACACACACAATGAGAAGAAAAAAAAAAAGAAAACTTAAGTTTGAAAGTCAATTTAAAGGACAAATAGGAAGAAGTTAAAAAGGTTGATCAGTGGTAGAACCGTGGCCAGCATGTGCATGCCTGGGTCGCTAGGCTGGAGCCCCAGCATTGGAAATAAAGAAAGAAGACAAAGAAGAGAGAGAAGGAGGGAGAAAAGGAGGGAGAGAAGGAGGAAATGAGGGAAGGAAGAAAGGAAGGAAGGAGGGAAGGAGGAAGAGAGACATGGAAGGGGGAAGGAAGGAGGGAGGGAGAAACGGAGGAGGGAAGGAAAGAAGAAAAAAGCGAGGGGTACTAGCATTACAAACCATATCATATAGAAAGCTAACACAAATTTAAAAGAACACTTCCACCATACTTCCTCAGTAAAAATGCAAATGTTCCGATATCCCAAAAAACAACTTAAATGAAGGCATCAAAAACCTCCAGCCCAGAAAACAGCTACAGAAAAAGCCACAGAGGTGAAATTCAATCCCTTTGAATGCTATCTTTCTCTGTTCTCTCACATAAAGCTCTCTGCTCTGGGCTCTTGGCCTTCTAAGTTCCATCAGATTTTTTTTTAATACAGGGTTTCTCTGTGTAACAGAGCCCTGGTTGTCCTGGACTTGCTTTGTAGACCAGGCCAGCCTCCAACTCACAGAGATCCACCTGCCTCTGCCTCCTGAGAGTGCTGGGATTAAAGGCGTGTGCCACCACACCCGGCTCCATTGGGTTTCTTTCACTTCATGCTTGTTCTCTTTCGAATTCTCCTTAGCCCAATTTATCAGAGTAGAAAGATTCATAATCTACAAAGGGAGAAAAACTTCCTCTCACTTGCCAATCCCTGTCTTTGATCCCCTGAACCCATGTTATAAGCTGGGCGTGGGGAAGTAGAGGCAGGCAGATCCCTGAGGCTTGCTGGCTAGCCAGTCTAGCATGTATGCATACACACAAACACACACACAATAGAGGTAATTATCACCTAACTTACTAAGAAATACACAATAGAATCAGCTCAAGGAAGAAAGCTGCGTAGAGATTTTAGCATGCACATCGTTTAAAAGACCACCAAGGTAAGGGAGAAAGTTTCAAATGTGAAAACTCAGTTACTTGAGTACAAAGCTAAGCATACCTTTGGGAAAATGACACCTTTTTTAAGACTGTGCTAAAATGTGCACATAAAGCCTAGCGTCGCAGTCACCTGCTGTATACAGTTCAGCGGTGTTACACGCACTCACATCGCCTCTGCAACTGGTCTACTGCAGCCTTGCCACATTGCCAGGCTCAGTCTCTACCAACTCAGCAGCCGCTGTCGCGCTCCCCCACGCCCCCCAGGCCTGGCACCCCCACTCTACTGCCCACGTGTATGGATTTGGCTCTTCCAGGAACCTAATACAAGTAGGGTCAAACACTACATTTTTAGTTTTCATTTGCTTATTTTGTGTCTGTATGTGGGCACATGCTGTGGTGACTTGGGAAGGTCGTGTGACAATTTGCAGGAATCAAGTCTCTCCTTCCACTTGGGTCCAAGTATCAAATTAGAGTGGTCAGACTTGGCAGCAAGCTGAGCCATCTCAACACCCCCATTTCTAGTGTTTCAGAGCGACGCTTTTAAACCAGGGGAACTAGTAGCCAGAGTAATGGCTACCACAAACGGATAGAACGACAAAGCAGAAAGTGAACAGCGGAGGTTCCAGAATTGAAGATGCTAAGATACACTGAGTTGTCAGGGTTTAAGGTCCTCTTTTTCTAAATATTCTGTAGACAAAAACAGGAAGAAAAAAAAAATCTAAGCAATGACTGAACAGAATCGAACAAACTCCATTTCCCCATGTGTAAAATGGCTCCTTTGTATATTAACGATGGCTTCAGATTTCGCTTTCCAATCGCCCTCAAAAAAGAGTCAGGAACAGTAAACATCGGTTCCTCTCCATTTCTTAAACCTTGATTGTGAAGAACGAAGTTGCTTATCACCATCCCCGTGAGACTAGAGCAGAGGGCTGGAGCTGGAGCTCAGTTGGCAGTTTGCTTCCCTGGTGAATGCAAAGCCCTGGGTTCAGTCCCCAAGCCAGTATAAACCTGAGATGGTGGCACGGGCCTGTCATCACAGCCCAGAGAAATTAGAGGCAGGAGGATCAGCAATGCAAGGGCTTCCTTTCTGGCCTAGATTTTACAAGCCCTGATCTCAAGGTGGGAAGCGGAGAAAGGAGGACCAGAGTTCAGTCAGAAAGATAAGCACGCAGGAGGCATTTGCAGCCTCTCGCTGGTCCAGGCTGGGACCATCTGACAAGCCTCGTCTGATCGCTCTCAGTTTGTATCTGCCCGAATGAGCGAGCACGTCCCTGAGGGCCAACACTACTCACCGGGAAGTGTGTGATTAACTTTTCTTATCAACTGTGAAAAACGCATCAATTCGTCCTAAGTTACATAGAAAGCAGTGACCAGATCGAAAAGGGGAAAGCTTAGTGAAATGCAAAGTCAGTGCCGATGCTAACCCTAATTTTTGAATTTGACAATAATACAACTGAAAAGCTACAAGTTGGGAAGTGTCCCCCCCCCCATCCCACAGAGGGTTTCGATTACATCTGATAATCCCAGGATATGCTCTGCCACTGGGAAGTCATGGAATTATATTTAAGGAATTACCAGTCATCAAAACCTCTCCAAGATTAGAACAGTAATGCTGAGTACTTTTTCTGGCTCCACCTTATTTTTTTTCTCCATGTCTGACCCAGCCTCATAAAACAAGCCAGTAGGGTAGGTTCATGGAAAATAAATTATCCAATTAGGGATTAGCAAAACTGTAACAGGGATTAGGAAATGGCCAGGGAAAAGGAACACCCTGCTGCCGTGTATATAAGGGCCAAAAAGGCAGACGAACAGGCCGCTCACTCCACCTTTCCCTGACACCAGAGACAGCTCAGTACTTGCAGTAGCATCATGTTTTGCTCAGTTCAGAGAGGGTCCTGCTCCTCCTCCGGGGCCGTGGGCAGCAGGGTGTGCGCTGGCGGAAGCGCCTTCAGCGGTGGAAGTAGCTGTGGGCTTGGGGGAGGATCTGCCCAGGGCTTCCAGCAAAGCAGCAGCAGCTGGAGCCTCAGTGGGGGCACCAAGGGTGGCTTCGGAAGTGGCCTCGGAGGGGGCTTTGGCAGCTGCTCGGTAAGGGGTGGATTTGGAGCGGCCTCTGGCTTTGGTGGAGGTTCCGAATTCTGTGGGGGCTCTGGCTTCGGCGGGGGTTCTACCGGAGGCTTCTGCAGCTATAGAGGTAGCACGGGAGGCTGCCTTGGTGGTGTCGGTGGCGGCGATGGGGGCCTTCTCTCTGGAAGCGAAAAGCAAACCATGCAGAACCTCAACGACCGTCTGGCCAACTACCTGGACAAGGTCCGAGCCCTGGAGGAAGCCAACGCGGAGCTGGAGACGAAGATCGAGCAATGGTACAGCAAGCATGGGTCTGGAAGAGGCGCATCCAGAAGAGACTACAGCAACTACTACCGGGTCATCGAAGACCTGAAGAACCAGGTGGGGCTGCACAGCTGGGCTCCTGTGATGTGCCTTTCGTTTTTATTCAGGTCGTACGCTCTAATGAAACGGTTTTTACATTTATGCGTGTGTGTGTGTGTGTGTGTGTGTGTGTGTGTGTGTGTGTGCATGTGCGTCCAGAGAAGGGGCATGCGTTAGCACAAGCCTACCAGGCAGGTCCCAGGGATCAAACTTAGGCCTGCAAGTGCCTGCACATGCTAAGCCATGGGGGGAAGGGGGGGCCTGTGATGAGATCTGACGCCAATGAATTATTCATGTATGCAAAATAGGTCCTGCTGAGTCTTATCGTGCGGAAGACAGACAACAATAGTATTCTGTCTGAATCTCAGATTTGAGTTTTGAATTCATACCACGCCAGACAGCCAGCTGACAGGTGTCTGTTAGAGGAGGGGTGGTACCGAGGGGATAATTAGGGTGACCTAATTGTTCGTGACTCATTCTCCACAGGTTAGGACATTTTTTTGTGTGTCTTTCTGGATTCATTGAGAACAATTTTTTTTCTTCCCAGAGAATCTGGTGAAATGTTGTGTAAATGTCATGAAACTGAAAAAGTTTCAGCCTCGGTTTCGTGAGATGGGTAGTTTTCAGGGAAACTGTGTTCGCACTGAAACCTTGAGTGGGTGAGGAAATTAATGCTCTTCCTATCAGCAAAGATGGGCAGAGGACAGAATTCTGCAAAACGCTGTCCTGTGTCCACCCCCAAAAAACACGTGAGCTGTTTGCTGTTGCAGAAGGATGTGGTGCCGAGTGTTTGTGGGCCGCTGCTAAGCCAGTCTGCAGGTTAACCCACCTTTCAGAGTTGATGATGTGTGGTTAAGGGCACTGACTGCTCTTCCAGAGAGCCCTGCAGCTCACAGCTGTCTGCAGCTCCGAGATCTGACAGCCTCACACAGACATACACACAGGCAAAACACCAATGCACATAAAATAAAAATAAATATTAAAAAAAAAAAAAAAGAGTTAATGACATAGGAGATGTCTACCCTCCCAGGCAGGCGTCAAAAGAAAAAGAGTCACCTTGTAACTCAGTCTTCCTTCTTTCCTAGATCATTTCAGCCACCAGTGAAAATGCCAGAAAGACTCTGCAGATAGACAATGCCAGACTGGCTGCGGACGACTTCAGAATGAAGTGAGAGACGCAAAGTACTCGAAAACAAGTATTATAGGGAATAAGACATAGTCCAATCACTGAGGGGGGGAAAAAAACCCTTTGGGAAATCATGACCTAAATTCAGAATTAAACCAGAAGTAAATTTGGCTGGTTTTCTTCTATTGTTTTACTGTTTGTTTGGTTTGGGGGTGTTTTGTTTTGTTTTGTTTTGTTTTGTTTTGTTTTGTTTGAGACAGAAACTTGTGTAGCCCAGACTGGAGTCAGATTCATTATGTAACTGAGGCTGGCCTCTAGCTCCAGAGTGCTATGTCACAAGAGTACCTGGGTTCCCCCCACCACCACCAGTAAACTTTAGAGACTATTGTTAGAAGACAAGAAAGGGAAGGGAAAGGAAAGGAAGGAAAAAGGGAAGGGAAGGGGTAAAGAAAGGGAAGGAGAGCAGGACATTAAGGTTGATAACTTAAAAAATACTGTACATGACTAGAGCTAATATTAAAAAATTACTTTTCTTTTTAAGATTAGAAAAACTTCATAGAAACCTCAGACAATTTCATTTATCAAAATAGTCAGGGGTGGGTTGGGACCGAAGCTTAACAGTTAGAGCAAAGGCCCTCCCTAGCAAAGGCCCAGGGCCCAGGGTTCCACACAGAAAGAGAAAAAAAAATGAACAACAATGCTCCAAGGTGAAAACTTTTCCCAAGGGTGTGAAAAAGGAGGTGCTCCAAGACGTGTCCCCTCACCTGCCTTCCTGCCACCCCTCCAGGTATAAGCATGAACTATCGCTCCGGGGGGGTGTGGAGGCCGACATCAACGGCCTTCGGAAAATGCTGGACGACCTGACCATGACTCGCTCGGACCTAGAGATGCATGTCGAGAGTTTGACTGAGGAACTGGTCTTCCTGAGGAAGAACCATGAGGAGGTAGGAACCGGCCCCGCATCCCCAAGCACCTCTGCCATCCGTATTTTCCACCATATCTGGTCTTCAAAAGTAAACCCAGGTTGACCAAGAGGACTCCCCGCATCCAATGGCCGGAAGAGCTTAGTAACGAGCACGTGGCATCTTGGAGTTCCTCCGGGCTGTCATGGGTTTTGAATGTTTGCAGTGACACCCGCATTAGACGGTTGCGGCTTTCCGTTCGCCTCACTGTGGTGCCTTTGTCGTCCCTTCACGCTAGGAACTGAAGGGCATGCAAGGAGGCTCAGGAGGGGACGTGACAGTAGAAATGAACGCTGCCCCGGGAATAGACCTGACCAAACTACTGAACGACATGCGGGCTCAGTACGAGGCGATGGCTGAGCAGAACCGCCTGGAAGCTGAGAAGCAGTTCAATGAGCGGGTAGGGGTTGCACCGGATGCCTAAACCCGAAGTCAAGCTCAAGCCGCCGCCTCTGCTCCTAGGACAACTCTGCCTTATTCCCATTTAGAGCGCATCGCTGCAAGCCCAAATCTGCACCGATGCAGGGGCAGCCAGCTCCGCCAGGAATGAGGTAATGGAACTGAAACGCACCGTGCAAGCCCTGGAAATTGAGCTTCAGTCCCAGCTGGCCCTGGTAGGTCCTGACAGTTGTCTGTCAGTCTGTTTCAAATCTCCAACGAAGAGTTAAGCAGATGAGTTGTCCTCCTTCGCCATGACCCCCCCCCCCCCCCCCACTGAGCGTACAAAGACAGGAAAAGGGAAACCCTTTTGTGTGCTGGAGAGCACTAAAAAAAGTCAAGCATGCGGCTCTCCCTCTCCGGCACTGGAAGATGACTCCATGGGGAAAGTGCTTCTGGCTGTGTCAGTGTGAGCACCAGCTTTTGGGTCCCCAGCATCGCTGGGAAAGATCGGGGGGGGGAGGGGCACATGGTACCAGGTGGACCCGTGACTAACCTAGCCAACCTCACTAACCTAGTGAGAGACCCTGCCTTGAAATATCGAAGACAACAAAGACACACCTGTCACCTTCCGTCCTCCACATGTCCACGCGCACGTACGCACACACACAAGACAGCTCTCTCTCTCTCTCTGTTTCCACTAAAGATGTAATCTTAGTCGTGCCAGGGAAAGTTAAAAGAGGCAAAGTCAAGGCCGCATAGATTATGCCCCCAGCAGAGGAAAGCACACCCTCCTGCAAAACCGGACCTGTTTCCAAATGGTCTACTGACTTGTCATCGACATGAATTTTTCTTTTTCTCTTTGCCTTAGAAATGCTCCCTGGAAGGGACCCTGGCCGACACAGAGGCAGGCTATGTGTCTCAGCTGTCTGGGATCCAGATACAGATTAGCAGCCTGGAGGAGCAGCTCTGCCAGATCCGAGGCGAGACCGAGTGCCAGAACGCCGAGTACGAACACCTGCTGAACATCAAGACACGCCTGGAGGAGGAGATCGAGACCTACCGTCGCCTGCTCAACGGGGAGGGAGGGTGAGCGAAGGCCGCCAGGGAGGGTGAGCGAAGGCCGCCGAGATGCACCACTGGAGCTTAGGAAATCAAAGCGGGGAGGGGGGAGGGGTCAGACGTGTGCACAGAGCAATCAGGTAAGAGCCCCGTCAGAAGGCACCCAAAGCCACACCCTGGGGTGTGGGGTGGGGAGGGGCTGGAGGACTTCTCCCACCTTGGCAAACTGCAAAGTAAAATGTCATCCTTTCTTCTTACCTACAGTGGATACGATTATTCAAACTTAATATCCAAGCATATGGTATTGAGTGACGCAAGATCGGGGATCGGTTCTGACCAAAGAAAAGGTAGACACTTTCTGAATGTTGGTGACAACGTTACCATCTCAAAATACTTTTTAGTGGATTGTTACTAAAAAGTATTTTACAATGAAAGGCTTGCTTTACTTGTCTGTTTTTACGGCTGGGCTGGGAAATGGCTTAGGCAGAATTGCTTCCCTTGCAAGCAGAGGGACCTGAGTTCAACCCTCGGAACCCATGGGCGGGAAAAACAGCCAGGCATTTATGGACTGGTAATTTCAAGGCTAATGGAGGTGAAGACAGGGAGATTTCTGGAGCTTTCTGACTGGCTAGCCTGGCTCATTTGGCAAGTTCCAGGCTAGAGAGAGACCCTGACTCAAAATAAAAATAAAAGAAAATGAGGTGGATGTTACCTGGGGAACCACAGCTGAGGTTGTCCTTACTTGCACACGTCCACACATACACGCACGTGCCATGCATGCCCACAGCTACACATGTGTGTGCGCACACACTAAAAATAAATAAATGATAAAGTGTCCACAGTCGCTCACAGTATCTTACTGGGACAGAGCCTGGTCAGCAGTCATGGAGTTTCCCCTGCTCTGGGTCTCAGTGGCTGACCTTGTGGGTCCCGTGATTTTCAGATCCCAGCAAGACAAGAGTGACGAAGACCATCATAGAGGAGGTCGTGGATGGCAAAGTTGTCTCCTCTCAAGTGAGCAACATTTCCGAGGTGAAAATAAAGTAAACGGTTTCCAGATCTGCGGAGGGCCGTCTATCTGAGGAAACAATTGAGAGGGAAGCCAGCCCGACAGCCTGCCCCGGTCTGACCACTGCGCTGGCTCACTCCCAGAAAAACCTGCTATCCAAAATTAGCTGGCCAGCCCGTTTTCTGCATCCTCTTATATTCTTATTAGAACATTCTTTTAAAAGTAGAAAGGAGAGATTGGCTTTGACTGTTTCTGTGCTTCAATAAATATACTTTTGCAAGCTAACAAATGAAGCCATTCTTGGATTTTTTTTTTTCCCTAAAAAATTTAATATCTTACCCAGGGCCGGAGTCATGATTGATGGCTCATGATTATGTCACTAACATTAATTCATCACTTATTTGATGACTCCCTTATTAAGTGAAGATTTCAGCCATTTTGCATGTGGGTTTTAACATCACCCGAGAACAGAATGGCACCATGCTAAAAGTAGACATCACTGTCCCTAACACTGTAGCCAACAAGTCCAGCTCGCCAGACAAGGACAAAAGTTATTACAATGATCAACTTATACTTCATCAATGCCTATTTCTTTATGTCAGTCACTGGACAAGGGTTTCTTAGACTTAGAAAAAGACACACAAGCTACACCTCACCCTTCAACAAGTTCACAGCTGACTGGCTGTTCGCATCCTGGCACTTGGGAGGCTGAAAAGGGGGAATTGCCACAAGTTCCAAAACCTGGGCTACATAGTAAATTCCGGCCAGAAAAGGCTGCAGAGACCCTGTCTTGACAACAATACAGAGCTTGCTTTGTCGGTGAGGAGGAAAACCAAACATGAAGGTAGCAGGAACTAAAGGGTGTCCTAGTAAAGACTTCGGCTGGGCATAGTGGCACACATCTAGAATGCCAGCGCTTGGGAAGCAGAGGCAGGAGGATCAGGAACTCGGTGCCATCCTCAGATGAACAGCAGGTTTGAGGCTAGCCTGAGCTACGTAAGACCCCGTATCAAAAAAAATAAAGAAATAAAGAAGGATTCTACAATATTTGCCAACACACCACAGAAATGGGACATGGTATGTTTGGGGACGTTAACATATGACCAGAGAACATAGGGAAAGAGCGTTGTGCATGTGATATGAGATCTGATTTCCTAACACTTTGAAAGCCCCCAAAAGAAGAAATGCTTTGGAAGTTGTTCCTTTACCAGTTCTAGCCACACCTCCAACCAAAGCTAAAGCTTGTCAGTTGGCAGATCTGGCATTTCTTTTTCCTACTCTCCATCTTGGAGACCTTTCACCCCATGGGTAGTCACAGCCCCATTCCTTCTTTTGCACAGTATCTCCAAGGATTCAGAACTTGGTCTTTGGTGATGAAAACCAAGAAGTTCCAATTGGAGGTGGTTCAGGCCCTAGCAAGAACCAGGCTGAAGATCTAGCCAGGCTGGGCAACTGCACTTCACACAAACAATTTTATATTGATCCTCTCAGAAGTCAGAGAACCGATGCCATAGGCCAGTCCTCTGGGGAGAAAGCTCGAAAGACATGACACAGAAAGCCAAACTCATTATAAGCAATGAGCCTGGGATGGAGCCACAGCTCAGTCAGTAAAGTGACCTGAGTGCAGTCCCTGTTACTCACTTTAAAAAAAAAAAAGCCAGGCATGGGGTGAGCACTTGTGATTCCAGTGCCATGGAGGCAGAGACAGCCAGATAGATCCTTCGTGCTCCCTGACCAGCCAGTCTAGACTAATCAACGGTCTCCAGGCCAATGAAGAGACACTACCCTGCATCCACACATACAGAAACACACACACACACACACCACGAACCTAAACATAATGCATAAAACCTATACATTCAAATACAAAACTAGTAAGAATGACATAATATCACACCTTAATCATCAAAGCAGCCATAAAATGTAGGATTTCATCACCTAGGCATACTGAATAAAATATTACAGATGAGCATCATGGCGCTAGAGAGATGGCTCAGAGGTCAAGAGCTTATACTATTCTTGGAGGGAACCTAAGTTCACTTTCCAGCACTCACGTTGGGTGGGTGGCTCCAACTCCAGGGAACCTGATGCCTTTGCCCTCCACAGGCACCTCACACTCACATGCACACAGCCACACACACATGTATATAATTAAAACAGAGAATAAAGAGAAACCTTCTTTTAAAATGTCAGTGCACTCTCCCTTCGGAGTCCCTCCTACTCTTGGGAGCTCTTCCTCACTTTTCTTTGACGAATTTGTTCTCCGAGTTTAAGATGAAAGGCGCCCGAGGAAGCTGTAACTTATTCAGTCCCCGACCCCAGAACGGCATGAAAAGACTGAAAGCGGAAGAGGACACCAGGAAAGAGAGCGCAGTGTTGTAAGAGGCACAGTAAAGGAAACTCGGGAGCATTCTACTCAGAGTGGAAGCGTGTCCTCTGCCGCCGCCATCCACCCCAAGTCAGCCATTGGCCAGCATGGCTAGAGCTGGTTTTGCAGCTGTGGGTCCTGACTACCTGGACTTGTATTTATGGCTGATGGGGGCCCCGCTGTGGTCTCCAGCACCCTCCGACCCTTGTATCAAAGCAAACAACAAATCTACTCGGAAACCTCCCTGGAGCTGAGAGCCCTGTGCCCTTGGCCAGTGTTAACATGATACATTTCTTACGAAAGAGTTGCTCACACAAGGAGAAGCCCAGCTTGTGTGCACTGAGTGAGAGCAACGCAATGAAACCTGTTGCTAAGAACAGGTCTCGTTCTTACTAACGAGCTGCTGTGTCACATTGGATCATGACATTTCCTTAGAAGGCTGACTAAGACGTTAAGAACAGGGTATTTGCACGTTATTCCCTGTCCAAAAAAAATTTATGTTCATACTTCACCACAGGAAAGCATCTGTGGACACTGAGGTTCAGCTCCCCAGTGGCTTGTAAAGGAGCAGAGTTTCCTCTGAGAGGATTTGCCCAGGAGGAAGAGCTTTGGCTAGTAGCAAATGAGTTTTCAACTGATGCCAACTTCTGATCCAGAGATTCACAGGGCCGTTCTCGTTTTTTTGTGAACTTAAGGGGCGATGGACAAAAAAGGATGAAAATGCTTGAAGTGCCATCTGTCGTCACAGAGATTACAGGCAAGGCACACGGCAGCCAGCAGGAAAGAGTGCTAAAGGACTCCAGGCTCTAACGAGCAAGGCCGAACTTGCCTGGTGACTTCATTGAATTAGAAGGTAGTTCAAACAACAGGAAACAAAGGGAAGGAAATAAATCATCTGAAATGTGGCTCAGGCGATGTTGCCCAAGCCACCTCTTGGAGTAACAAAAGTGACACAAACAAGAAATCTCTTTAAATTATCTCTAAGTCAAATGTGGCATTTGGATAACAGAGAAAAAAAGAAAAGAAAAGAAGGTCAAAACTTTTTAAAAGGAATTTACTTGTCTGTAACATCAACCCTTACCTGGAATGGTGGGGAAGAAAGAAAATGCTAAAATAGCACTTTAAATACCATTTTAAGCTTTTTTTTTTCAAGTGTGTGTGTGTGTGTGTGTGTGTGTGTGTGTGTGTGTGTGTGTGTG